TGTTCAAAAATGTCATCTTTAAAAGCCTTACACATAACGGTTGTGAAAACATATCTGCTCAAAAATATTACAGTCTTTATTTTAGAACAAATTGCACACAATTATGCACATACCTGCACATCCTGCAGCCAGTCTAAGGCTGTTTTCTCATCTTTTTTTTTTTTTTACCACCCATTGGCTGTGAAGTACGACATCATAAAGAGAGCCTTTGCTTTCTGCAGAAAAAAATTGTTGAAGTTTCTAGCTAGCTACTTTTCTTTTGTTAGATCAATTTAAACAGGATTATACAAACAGCAGCAACTCACTGAGGGACAATGTTTATATGGGTGAAGAAAGTAATTGGATTTGTAGGGAGGAATTAAATTACCGCAACATTAAAGGTAAATGAATAAAGCCACAGCGATGTTCATTCACATCTGGCCATTAACTTGGTAATAGAGAACATTTAATTAATCTTAAATTTCATGACTTGTTCTATAATTTTTTATCAATAATTGTTCATTGTTTCCTCTTTTTTATGTCATGTACTATCCTTGTGTTCACCTGTGTCCTGTTGGTCACACCTTTCTTGATTAACTCGCTGTGTATTTAGTCTCTGTGTTTCTGCTCAACCGTGTCAGTCTGTCGTCAAAACTTCTCTGTCTCTCCTTTTCTGTGAGCTCTTGTGTTATTTTCTCCCCCGTGTTTGGACTTTGAGAGAAAACAAAATACGCTTTTGGTTGTATTTGCCTTTTGTTAAATCAATTATTTTCTGTTCAGCGCACAAGTCGTCGTTAAGTTGTAAAACTGTGACATTAAACTGAAGGCAAGGTAACAAATCAAATCACAGTTAATATCTGAATTCAACCTTACATCATTTATCTTGGGACAGCAATCAATAATGTTATAAGCTTTTTGTTGTACTTTAAGTATCAAGAAATGAACACTTCAGAACTGTATTCACATCAAACATAAATTATCAGTACGATATGTAAACTCGGTTGGGGTTATCTTTCATTTGTAGTTTAATATTTGAAGCAGATAAGCCCAAATTAGAAATATGTCATGCTCAGTATCTCAGAACTGCAATAGACTGAGATAAACTCTTCTAATTTCAAGCTGAGAGATTGTCAGTGCTTAGAGTTTCCATGCGTCGCTGTCTGTCTTGGTATTATGACATGTTAGCTAACACACTCCTGGAGTTGATGCAAATGAGGCTTTTTGTGTTACGGGCACTTTAACCAAACACTACTGGACTGTGTGGGATTTGTTTCCAAATGCAGCTTTACGAAGTAAACTTGTTGCAAGTGCAGTGTGGGTCCCCCTGTTTTCCAATAATTATAATCCTGTCAACGCTGTTCCATATGTGAGCCGAGAGAGCGTCGCTGGCTTCTCTGTGAGCCTCGACAGTATATACAGCCGCGGCTGGCACGATGCTACAACTGAGGGAAGTGTGGGCCGGATACGCTCCCCTTCACTGGCAGGCAAAGGCTGCATTATGCTAATGCGACAACCAGAGGAAAAAGAGAGAGGGAAGAAGAGTGAACAAAAAAGAGAGTGTGAAGAAGAGACGAGTGCGAGTAGGAAGAGAGGGAGGGAGAGAGAGAGCGGTGGTGTGAAAGTGAGCGAGAGGAGGCTGCACAGTCTATACATGCGGGGGCGAACATGTTGTCATCTCCTGCATTTAAATGCCCCCCTCTCGCTCTGCTCCACACGTCATTTAAATTGGGTCAGACAAGTGTTGGAGAACCAGTTCGAACACATTTGCAAAGACAGTGAACCCCTCTCAGAGAGATGCAGACCAAAGGGATGAGCCGTTTTGTGGCTAAGGCTTAAAAAACAATGTTGTTTGTTTTTTTTATCTAACAGTTGGTTTCTTTTCCAAAAGCACAACATACACATTTTCCTTCCACTTTCATTTTGACCTCTGCACACCCAACCCACTCTTGCTGATGAAGCCATACTGCAGAAGTGAATAGACTTGGAATTTAATAAAGGCACCATCAGGCACAGCCAGTCACAGATTGCTACTGTAAGTACCTTCATGAAATGCCTTTTTATATTCCACCTTTTTTCCCCCAGAGATTAAAGCAGGGGAGCATTTTATGGCGCTATCTAACGTAGGCTTAATGGCATGGCATATAGAAAGGAGAATGCAAAGTGAGCACAGTGTGAGATATATGTCAATGCACATTGTAGAGGTAAATGAGAAAGCCGCGATGGTAAGCATAATCTCAGCAGAAAAAAAAAAAAAAAAAGTTTCAACTCACAAACACAAAAAGAGAGAATTGTGGTTTCAAAGCGTCAGTGTTTTTCTGCTGCCTAAAGAAATGCCCACTTTGTTCTGTCTGCCAGTTCATTGCTTTCAAAACGTATTCCATCTCAAAGAGTCATTCGCATATTCAATTTTGTGATACAGATCTGACCATTCTGTGTCGCATTTTAAATACTTTGGTGAAAATATGAGAGAATATGTTTGAAGGCAGCCCGAGGCGGGAGAAAAGTAAGCTGCTTAGGACCACCGAGTGAGTAAATCACCGCTAAAATGTCCTTTTGTTCATTTATTTCTGTCACAGTTTAATTGTTTTGGTAGTTATACGAGTCTGAGTCCTTTTTATTTGCAACTTGTAAAAAAAGGTACCATTAATTTATAAAAAAAAAAAACTTGCAAGTCAAGGTCACCTCCTTAGCACCTTTATCTTTAAACTTATTAATGTTGAGACATTTCCGCTAAACCTATCATCCATTATCTATACCGCTTATTCCCGTACGGGGTCGCGGGGGGGCTGGAGCTGAGCCCAGCTGTCATTGGGTGAGACGCGGGGGTACACCATGGACTGGTCACCAGCCAATCACAGGGCTGACATATAGAGACAGACACACTCACAGTCACACCTACGGACAATTTAGAGTCACCAGTTAACCTAACGAGCATGTTTTTGGACTGTGGGAGGAAGCCGGAGTACCTGGAGAGAACCCACACATGCACAGGGAGAACATGCAAACTCCACACAGAGAGGCTCCTGTCAGACGGGGATTCAAACCAGGAACCTCCTTGCTGCATCACTGTACAGCATACCTAGAGTAAAGCTTGATGTATTTGTTTAAAACATGAGGGATGATTTACGTTGAGCTGGTTGTTTCAAGCAGAATGGATCACCACCAAGTTTGAGCAGGAACCAGACGTAGAGCCGGCGGGGTCTTATCTAACCCCGAAGATGTTCCTCCACCTAATCAAATCAAACTGTTAAGCTGTCATAAGCTCATATTTAACTTAATGTATTCATGAGGATGAAGAAGGACAAACTGAACAAAAAGGCAATAAATGGCGAGAAACCAGATGGATGTTTTCTGCCTCGTCATGGTCTGCTGACTTTTCTTTTTTTATACCGGTCTGTCAATACTCTTGTATCCAATGACATGTTCCATTTGGTGTGAACTCCGTAGACATTTTTTTACATATGCACTATATTTTCTAGAAATCTTAAGGCCGGCTACCCCTTGCTTATTTACACATGTACCTCACAATGGGCTATCCCTGTTGGACGGGAAGGGGGGAGGATCTCGTAATGTAAAAAGAACAACATAGACATTTCAGACGAAACAACAGGATGCAACCCTATGATGACAATTTAGACCGTTTTGTAGATGCAAGTAAGGCATTTACATCCCTTCAGGGTAGCATCAGCAGTGGGTTTGGGTGAGTGTGAACTTTGGAGGTAGTGAGCGGAATGGTGATCTCTTGGACCCTGAAAGGCCTGTGTCCTGCCTGCTCTTTCATCTAAAGTCCTCATTTAACCAATATAACTGCTTTTTTTCCCCCTTGAGTGCACTTACATTTTAAAATTAAGACTCAAAATTGAAGTGGGACTGTTGCAGTGAATCTGCGCTTGACAGTCAGTGAAGACGAGGCACTCTGCTGTAGCTCAATCTGTGATTTCAATACATTGGTCGACTGTTGTCTTCATAAAATCCCTGCTTCATGTTTCTCTCTTACCTTACGTGTTGACTTCTCACATTTTATTGGTACATTTGTGTCATAATGCTGCTCACTACACCTGACACTCTGCACTGTGCTGTTCTTCTGCGACGCTTTGTTTACCATTATCCCTGGTTTGGTGCTGTCTGAGCTGATGGATGCATCCTGCAGGAGGCCCGCTCTCGCTAACAGCCAGCACATCGACAAACACCACTGTCTCTTAAAACAAGGACAGTTTGATTGATTCATTTCCGTGCCGTTTCCTTTTTCCGTAGAAGAGTTTATTTGTAATTACTCTTGTATTTTTACGTCATTACCACAACCTGCTCTCCCACAGGCTGATGGATAATACATCTCTATCTTCTCTCTCACCTGGCTTTATTGCAACTTTGTAATACAAATTCACTGGGTTTATTGCTCTTCGGTTAACAAGGCCTTTTTATTAAAGACCATCTCCACTCTTTGTCAGTTATACAAGTAACAGGGACATGTGTTACAGTCTGTTATCTCTAAATGGAGCCATTATGCTATTCTGTATTTACTGTGTCTATGCTGAAGCAATATGTCTTTGATTTCATGGACTTTCCTCTCAATACAATAAAACAAATGAGACCCTTTAAATAACTATTTTGAAAGATTAAGCAAGGAAAAGACAAATACAGTACAAGTAAAACTCCCATGGCCTAACTATAGTAGGAAACGACCTCCAATAGATCCTGCAAAGTTTTTTTTTTCCTAGATTGGACTGGCTCTTCTTTTTTTTTTCTTTTTTTTTAACATAACGCATACCTGACCCAATAATCCAAAAGTCGGAAAGAGACTCTGACAGGACTATGATCTAGACCAGTTGATAGAAACGACCGTTTTCACATTTCCTTTTTGAGACAGTAAAAGTCGAGATTAAATTCGCTTGACAGTTGAGTGGAAACAGGACCAAAGTCAATCCTTGGAAAAGTAAAAATCTCTCTCATCTTTTTCAATCTCTTGGTTCAGTGTTGCCATTTCTTCCATCTTCCCCCCTAATCCATTTCTCCCTTTTAAGGTATTCCTGCGGTCCATCCACCTCATTCCCACTGGGTCCATGCCTTAGGAAGATGAATGAGCCGCATCTGATGTACAATCCTGCAGGTGAGAGCACAGCCAAGAAAACTCTGACTTTGCTGAATGAGAATCTAACGGATCGTAGGCCAATGAACAGAGAATGCCAGGCTTTTGCTGCACTCTGTAGATGTAGAGGAGAGGGGGGAAATCATCACTCCTAAATCTGCCGTGGCCTTAAAGACTGATGTTCACCTTTCTGTCATTTATTCTACACGACCTGTTAGCACGGACAAGGTCAATCTGGCTTGTCAGCCCCCCCTCCTGTCTCTCGATTGCTATCTTGGCCCCTTCAGGATCCTAGAGTGGTTGGATGACAGCTTGTGCCACCAATTCAGCCTGCACCTGTGACTTCATCATGTTCGTCTGCATGTGTGTTTGTGTGGCTCTGGGTGATGAAGCAGGGGAAACTTTCATGTGCGTGTGGGTGTGCTGAAGTGCGTAATTGCCAGGCACAAAAGGCCACTAATTTCTTCACTTAAACAACCACTTGCTCAGCCCAGCAGCTTCTCAAAGTGCCCTGCGGTTTTCAGTTTGACCTACAACTCTCCAGTCAGTGTCTCCCAGCCTCCCGGTCCTTTCTCCTTTTGAATAATTACAGACTTCATTCTCACTTGTGTATTTAATCGCTTAATCCTTCCATTTATTTGAGGATTCAATGTACAAAGACAGTAGAAGAATTAAAAGCATTTTGTTTAACACTGAGCCACGATTGCTCATGGTAGGCCTAGGCATTCTGGAGGACATGATGTTGTCATTCAGCCAATGGATTGGGGAGCTGGTCTGGCGGTGTTAGCTGTCAGAGCAAGGATGTGCTCAGATGGCAGTAAATCCCACCAAATCCTGGTGCCCTCTGTCAATTATGAGCCATAATCCCTTTCTTTTCTGAGAGTCAAATGGGCTCTGGGCACAGCTCACACACTGGAGCGCTGGGCCCAGGCACTGGTTACCATTGCAAAGACAGGTGGTGATGGGGAGAAACAGCAGGTGATGGGGAGAAACAGCAATTACCTTAACTACCATTAGGTAAATTATCTTGACCTGCCATTGCCCCAGCAGCTACATGAAAGTCAATCAATTATACAGACTAATTTTGAGTTAAAGGTATAATATGCAACATTTTTAACACGTATAGCCTATAGATGATATAATTTATATTACAAAATATATAACTGAGCAATGACTTCCTAAAATAAATACTGGAGTCAAACTCCCTCTGGGTTTGTTGTTCTCAGCTCTGTTTTCACAATGATAAGACCATCACTTCCTTTAGTTTGTTGTAGAGCTCAAACATGTTTCATACATGTTTTTTTTTCTCCCTCTCCAACCTTTAGCTCTGCCACCACATGGGGAAAAAGAGAAAGCCCCACCCACTTTGTTAGTAGAGGCATAATGGCCATAATCATTGCGAGAGTACAACTGAAGGAGATCCATCAGACTTTCCAAAGCTCTGTTATTAAATACATTGAAGAAAAAGGAAACAAATCTAATGTGGACAGCGTATCAGGATGAAGATCAGTCCTGCAGACAGCTTCCCACTGTAGGAATGCTAAGACACCTCTATGAGACCTTCAAAAGCAAAAAAGGACATTATTAACGAGATAAACTACTTCTAAACAGTATTTTTCTATAGCGGTCTATATCACCTGTAGGTGTCAGATAAAATGATTTTGAGCATGCAGCCGAAACATCCTTTATTTTCTACCAAGGCAAAGACGTGTTGCTGTCAAAAGACACAGTAACTACAAAAAAATATAGTTACTGTGTAAAAAAAATAATAATAATAAATTTGACAGACTTCAGAGGACCCAATTATTAGCTTTGTCCAAACCTGGATAAACACCCAACAAAGATGATAGGACAGAGACTTTTTCATGTTCTCACACGCTAATTGTTGATCGTTAATTCAAAAAGACCGACTTCACTGCCATTTAATACCTTTGAGATCGACTGTAACTAGGCAGGTGTAATTGTCTTCAATCAGTGTTGTACCATACTTGTGCGTCTGTGGCTAAATGGTATCAAATCCCTGTGGTCTGGCTGCAACATCCACTTAAAAACATTGCATAGCCTTTTCCATGAATTTGGCCATTTGGAAGAAGGCATCATTCTTCACTTTAGTCTGCAACACCAATAAGAATATATTAATATAAAATATAAGTCAAATGTTAAATGGACTTGAGCTTGTATAGTGCTTTTCTAGTCTTCAGACTACTCAAAGCACTTTTACACTGCAGGTCACACCTACCCATTCACACCCATTCACACACTGATGGCAGAGGTTGCTATGTAAAGTGTGCATCTGAAGTAACTAATCCCATTCAAACACATTCATACTCCGCCGACGAAACAGTAGTAGTAGTAGTAGTAGTAGTAGTAGTAGTAGCAATTCGGGGTTAAGTGTCTCAAGGACATGTGGACGTGGATATGTGGCTGCAGGAGCTGGGGATCAAACCCTCAACCTTCCGGTTTAGAGACGACAGCCGTTTTCTTTTGGTACTACATTTTGTCAGTCTTTGACGATAATCCCATGCATATCGTGAACTGTTGTAGTTCTCGATCTATGTTTCGGCTGGCTATTAATGGTAAAGAAAATAAATACAATTTATACAGAAATGTAATAATATGACAGCAATGAAAATGTGCCATTCACTACGGGGACAAGAGGATTGTAGCTGTTTTGGCAGTCTCTTTATTAATGTTTAAGTTGCTGTCTGGCCTTATGTGCTTTAAAAAAATCCTCTTCAGGAAAATTATAATTAAATATTAAATTTGGAGTCGTGAGGGTGTAATCTTTTAAGTGTTGAAGTCTGAGGCCATTCTAACTCCACAGAATAAGGTGACATATGATGAAGGTCAGATCTTGTCTTCAAACAACCATGGCCAAGAAACTCAAGCATGCACCATCTTTGAAATCTTTAGAAAGGAGATTTTAGTTTAAGTCCAAGCTGCTCAGAGCCCTTTCAGAACAACGTTCTGATCAGCACAGGTGCACTCAGGTAGGTCTGGCAGTAAAGCAGTTTTAATATTCCAAAACATATGTGTTTGATTTTATTTTGGGTGGTCTTTTTAAATACATCAAGTTTTTCTTGCTGTTGCCCAGATTGCAAAGCAATACATAGCTAAACTTCCAAGCAGATACCCAACTGGCCTCGCCCAACTGTGAGCATTCTGACTGCCATCTATTGTAGGTAATACAAGACAATTAACAAAAACCCACACGATCCCTTTAGGGACAGGCAGTAGTTATTGTTAAATGTCAAACCTGGCTTCCAGCATTAGACAGTGTGTGAACCCTAGATTTTTAGCGTTGAAAGCAATAGTGTGACACACATCCATCAGCCCAACCTCCACTCTGTTACTTTGGCAATGAACACTACCAATGAAAGTATATCACTATGAGTAGATGCATATATGGGGGACAGCACTGACCTGGGTTACTTTCTGCCATTACTCATGTTGAATGCAAAAGGTTATGTGTCGTTGAAATAGGTTTAAGTCTGTGTGTTTTCCGTTTCATTACATTGAAGCATTGCACTTTATATGTTTCAGTCTGGATATCATCAAATAAGCACACCTTGAGTTACAAGAAGTACAATGTTATGGGATTGCACCATATTTGACAGCTATCTGAAAATTGAGAACATGGCTTTGAAAGAGCTCATGTACAATGCAGCTGTGTTAAAATTCACCCAATACATGTCACAGATGTTTTCTATTTTATGTTGAATGGGGGAATCTATATGCATTTTCATACATTCTTTATTTGCATTCAAATGTCCCATCCAGCAAGTTTTTCAAAATAAAATGGCAAAATTAAAGCCTGCATCATAATTCATCCATCATCATGCATCAGGCCCATATAAAGCAGCAAAAGATAGTCTTGGGGAACTCATTACGAGGGTTCGGATGTAGCAATTACCAGTATATTTGGAAGCAGCTGAATGTTTGGCAGCACTTTGAGTCCAAGACAAATTTCCCCAAGGGGACAATAAAGTGTATCGTATCGTATATTTATAACATGACCAATTGGGTGACGCCAAAACAGTTGAGCCCATGATCAAAAATGAAACAACAAAATACATGCTGCTATTTTGTCAAGGATGCCAATATGGGTCTTATTCAAGCTACATAATGTCAGGAAATCCATTGCAAAAATTAAAATGGTTTGCAATTTCACTGCTCAGAAGTAGTTTGTGTGTTTGATTCTTTGTGAGAGGAGACCATAAATGTTTTAGAATTTGCATTAGCCAATGGCTTGATGGTTTTCATATTTTTGTAACCCTTTTGGAACGTTGTTTTTTCACACTCTAAGGAATTCTGCTGTATCATCACTCGTTTCTGTTGGCTGATTATTTATTAAACCCAATGACATCTGATTTTTTTATGAACTCGAAGGTCAACAGGATGTATTAGTAGAAGGAGAAACATTTGGTAATTTCATTGGTATCAGAAGACTTTGACTGTGCATATTTAACAAGCTAAAAGGCAACTTGTCTCCTTTTTCATTGCTATTTGGTATCTGTATGTACTAGGTTACAGTTAAAAAAGCAGAGGATATGGAGCATTATAATCTAAGGCGTGAAAGTAGAGCACAAGGTCATCAGAAGGGCTACAAAGGGAAGTTATTTATGAGAAACAAGTGGATCACACCAGCTAAGAGAGTGATAGAAGTGAGCAGTCAGGTCATTGTGAATGCATATGATATGAATACCAAATACCACTGTGTCCAAACATGAGACTTAAGAAATTAAATTTAATAATTCATGCAAACGGCTGTGACTCTACATGATTTATTTGGCGTCCTCCACTCTGTCTGAACTAGCCATAAAGAGTGATATAACATTTGCAGGCGCTGCACAAATGATATGTAGGTTGTATGTTTTGTCATAACAGAAGTAATTCATCTTCTGCAGCTAATTAAGTCAGGCTTGATTTAGGAGGGTCAGTATCTTTCTTTCTGCAGGGAATTAATCTCTTAATGTAGTACACAACTTGTGCTGGTGTCGTAAAATATGAACCAATACAGT